TAATGAGAGTATTGAGTCTACGTGGCCAAGGGTTAGCATCCTTGTGCGTCCGTTTGTCAAGCCTCCGAGAGGAGATGCCCCAGGAAACGCGTTAGCACTTCCCAAGATTGTAGACGTCGAAGAGGCTGAGGGGCCGACAATTAAGGAGGAGGGTGAGGTTTGAGACTGGAGTGTTATCCACGTTCTAACCTAGATAGTATCCTCGGCAAGGATCAAATTAGGGCCTTGGCTAAGAAATATTTTATTCTAGGGGATTATATGATTAGAGTCCCTTGTGTCAGTGATAGGTCATGGTGATGCCTCGAAGGGGAAGTGTGTATTCACAAGAATTAACTTCATTTTGGGTTGTGCTTTCCTTTGCACCCTTTAGTCCTTGAATTGTTTAACCATTACAAATTAACCCTCAGCCAACTTGCTTCCAATGTTGTCAGGAAAATAGTGGTTGTCTTGGTGATGGTTCATCTTCGAGGTCTCTCAATAACTATGAACATATTTTGGAGCCTATTTTCCTTGAGAAAGCACCTTGATGGTGAAAAGTGGTGGACAACCCATTGTCTGTGCACAACTAGATGAAGAAAATTTCTTTGTAAGTTGTCTTGATGGATGGTCCTTTTGAACCGGTTTGGGGAGCCTAGATACATTGGCCGAGAGGATCGCGCCACGTAGCAGTGATGAGAGAAGGCAGCGATGAATCGACATCAGCTAGGCGGGATAATTCATGCCAAACCCTTGGTGATGGCTGGCCTTAGTCCTACCCCCCTTGGTAGGGACACTCCTGTTACTTGCTAAGTATGGCTTTGGTCAAGCCTTGGTGCTGTTTTCTACAACATTGTTGGTTCATTCTTGCATAGATGGAGGGTGACATGAAGGCAATGCTGCTAGTGGAGGCAGCCGCGTCAAAGAAGAACGCGAAAAAGCGTATGGCTGAAAGTACACCTTGGAGGAAACCAGAGGATGGTATGACCAAGACGGGGGCCAAGACCTAGGCGGCCCAAAAGAAGGCAAGGTACGACCAAGACGGGGCCAACACCAAAGTGTCCAATCAAAGGCACCCGAGATTTGCAGGCCACCAAGAAATTTCAAGTGAGGGAGCGTCAAGTTAAGGGGACTTCCGGTGGATCCTGTCAAGTTGTACCACTTTCCTCTTACCCTCAGGATCACAAGCCCATGACTGCTCATCGTCTACTAGCTGACCTGGAATATCAATAGCCAGCATCGGCCGATAGTTCGCCATAGGGATAGCATTTCTTGGCGATAATCAGTCCTGGACCCAATATTTTGTTAACTAAGTTCGGGAGGCCTTGTTGGATAAGGTGGCCGAGGTACTATTTTGAACTTCGTCAACTGTTAAAGGTATCTTGACCGGTTTCTTGTCCTTTTCCATAAGAATTATGGTGTTTGTCACACTTAAGTAGTGGACTGCATTGTCCTTTTCCATAAGAATTTTGGTGTTCATAGAGTGGAAAAAAAAGGCCCCTTGTAATACTTTTGAGGAGAGAATCAATAGAAATGGGAGCGATGGGACTCTGCAGTGACTTGCATGGTGTTTAGAAGCATGGGCACTTATGGGACCGATTTTCAAGAAAAAAACACCCATGTGTTTTTCACAAAAAAACGCTTCTGCCACGTAGGCAGTGAGCAACACTATGCTATTTGGTAAGCACCGTTTATATGTGCTGACAGGTAAGCATGACACAAGATACACATCAGCAACCGTTGGGGAAAACAGTTTACCGAAATTTGACGTTTCATGCATCAGTGAGTCCCAGCATGACCGATTTTTTAATAATCGACTGAACCAAACAATGAGATACATGGGCGTTTGTTGAAATACCTATGTAGATCAGACGTGACACTGTTTTTCTGAAAAATGGCCACGTTCCAAACATCCCCTTAAGTGGCCTACCTTCGCCTGCTATACTTGGGATAAGCTTATTTGGTTGCAAGCAATGGATGCACGAGTATAGGTGGCCATTACTATTTTGTACATCTTAACAAAATTACAGGTTTATCCGCTGGGAACCTTGACTTTTCTAGATTACTCTCCAAGATGGAACACGCGCGCGGTGTTTGCTCATGGATGACTTGTGAGGTTTGATTGTTCCATCCGAAATCATATTTAGTGGTCGAGCTTATTGTATCTCACCCCCACCCACAAATTACTGAATTGTTTATTGAATTTATTTTTGGAAAGAGAAACTTCTTGGTATTTCATCAAAGAAATTAAAAAGCTAAGTAAATAGTAGTCAAGTATGAAAAGGTACCATCTAATGGTGACTGAGTTGGTAGGATTTCTGAGTCGTTGGAGTAGAGATCAGGGATCGAACCCTACTGCGACCAGAGTGGGGTTGGGGGTTGGTATTCATCAAAAAGGCATCATAAAGAACTTATAACCAATGATCAGTTGGTATTCACCAAAATTGACAAGGGGTTGTGATGAGTCGAGTCACGTCTGGTATGATTCCTTGGTTTTTCCAGTTTATTTAATTTTGGATTAAGAAAATAAAAAGAATGTATCTTTTATTTATGTTTTAAATTTAAAATGTGTCTTTTATTTAATTATAGTAGTTATACAAAAACTTGTACCAAAAAAAGGAGTGGGATTTGTAATTTTGTATTTTATACAAATTTTTAAGGAAATATATACAAATTGAAGTTGACTAAGAAACACTACTCTTAAATAAATCTATATATAAGACCATTAAAGTCTGGCACCCAAGTTGATCAAGAAATCGATCGAGTGTTGTTAATTAGCAATTGAGGTAAAAACCACCCAGCAAGATGATGGGAATATCTTCTCTTGTTACTGGGATTTTGTTTATTCTGTGCATGTTGTCAAGAGAATCAATCTGTATTAATGTTGATGGCATCCCTTATTGCTTGGAATCCGATTGGAAAGCACTTGTCGATTTCAAAAAAGCACTCATAGATCCTGAGAATCGGCTTTCATCGTGGGAAGGAAGCAATTGTTGTCAATGGAGGGGGGTGAGCTGCAACAACCATACTGGAGCCGTAATTGGAATCGACCTCCACAATCCATATCCATATGACCCTTATTTTGATGATGACGAACCTTCTTCCAACAGCAGGTATGGGTTCTGGAACTTAAGTGGGCAGATTGATCCTGCTTTGTTAAGGCTTAAGTCCTTAAAACATTTAGACTTGAGTGGCAACACATTTCAAGGCATCCCAATTCCTGAATTCTTGGGTTCTTTGAAGGGATTGCGATATCTAAACTTGTCCACAGCAGGTTTTAGAGGTGTAATTCCTGCTAACTTGGGCAATCTATCAAGTTTGAGGTATCTTGATATCTCTTCTGAGTTCCATCCATATCTGCTATTCCTACCAACAGTTAATTTTACGCAAAGGCTAGCTGATATTGAATGGATAAGTGGTCTTCGTTTCTTGAGACACTTGGGGTTGAATGGAGTGGACCTTTCACTGGTAGGATCGAAATGGATCCAAGTGCCAAATATGCTATCATCATTGACTGAATTGCATTTATCTGATTGTGGTCTCTCCGGTGTCATTCCATCTCTTCGTCCTCAATCTGTAATTAATTTTACATCACTTGCAGTTATTGATCTCAGTTTTAATAACTTTAACTCAGAGATTCCCAATTGGATCTTGAATGTGAGCAGCCTTGTCCATGTGGATTTGAGAGGCAACAGATTGCATGGAAGGATTCCCCTTGGTATCTCGGAGCTTCCCAAATTGAAATACTTGGATCTTTCTTGGAACCAAAATCTTTCTGCGAGCTGTTCACAACTATTCAGGGGAAGCTGGAGAAAAATTGAATCTCTAGAATTGAGTAACAATAGAATACATGGGAAACTTCCTGCCTCCATTGGAAATATGACATGTTTGGTGCATCTCGAATTGTATCGTAATAACATCAGTGGAAGAATCCCAAGGTCCATTGCAAACCTTTGCAAGTTGAGCTCCTTAGATTTGGGTCGGAATAAATTAGTTGGTACCTTACCTGATTGGTCGGTTCAACTGAAGAATTTACAGGTGCTTTATTTGGACGGTAACTTATTCAAAGGCCCCATTCTTGCCGCTCTAGAGAGATTGCCGCCACAACTAACATCATTGTTTCTTGCTGGGAATGAATTTAATGGAAGTCTCCCTGACACTTTAGTAGGTCGCCTTTCTGAATTGGTTTCTTTAGATGTGTCTTCCAACCATTTGACAGGCACCGTGTCTGAAGCTCATTTCTCCAACCTTACTAAGCTAAAGTATTTAGACATGTCTTCCAATTCCTTAACTTTGAATGTTAGCTCCAAGTGGGTCCCTCCATTTAAGCTCCACTCTCTTGAGATGGGATCTTGCATGTTGGGTCCTTCTTTTCCTGCTTGGCTTCAAACCCAAACTGAACTCACATATTTGGACATCTCCAATGCCAGCATTTCAGGCTCAATACCCCACTGGTTCTGGAACCTTTCATCAAATATAAGATCTCTAAATGTTTCCTTAAATAAATTACAAGGTGAACTGCCAACCCGATTTAAGGTCGCTTCATCATGGGCCGATGTTGATTTCAGCTCCAATCTCTTGGAAGGGCCCATACCTCTTCCTACACCTGGCGTTTTCACATTTGATCTCTCTAATAACCAATTTTCTGGCCCTATCCCATCCAACATTGGCGATGTGCTACCTAATTTATACTCCCTCTTTCTTTCTAATAACCATATAATTGGACAAATCCCGACCTCCATTGGAAAGATACCGTATCTAGGAGTAGTTGCCCTTTCTAGGAATAACTTGACAGGCACAATCCCATCAAGCCTAGCAAATTGTTCTGATTTAATGGTCCTAGATCTTAAACAAAACCATTTATCTGGTTTGATCCCCAGGTCGTTTGGCCATTTGAAATGGCTTCAAAGTTTGCATCTCAGCGACAATATGTTATTTGGAGACCTCCCAATGTCTATGCAAAACTGCACGATCTTGGAAACTCTAGATCTTGGAAGCAACAATTTTTCTGGGGAATTTCCATCTTGGATTGGTGAAAGCCTACCTGCCCTTAGGATTCTACGCTTGAGGTCAAATTCATTTTCAAGTCGAATTCCTGCTCATCTTTCCAATCTAAGCTCTCTTCAGGTCTTGGATCTTGCGGACAACAATTTAATTGGCAGCATTCCTACCAGCTTAGCAAGTCTTGAAGCAATGGCTCATGTGCAAAACCTAAATCGTTATCTATACTACGGGGCATCATCAACAGAATATTATGAAGAAAGCTTAAATCTCCCCATGAAGGGCCAAGATCTCACATTCACCAAGACACTCTCCCTTGTAACTTGCATTGACCTGTCTAACAATGAGTTAAATGGAGAGTTCCCGGAGGTACTGACAAATCTGTCTGGGTTGATTTCTTTAAATTTGTCTGGAAACCATATCGGTGGAGAAATTCCCACAGGAATTGCAAACTTGCATCAACTGTTATCTTTGGATGTATCAAATAATCAGTTATCAGGTGTCATTCCTTCTAGCATGTCGTCCATGACATTTCTGAGCTCTCTCAACTTATCAAACAACAACTTGTCTGGCTCAATCCCATTTTCCGGGCAGCTCATGGCATTTGACGAGTCCTCATTCAATGGAAACCCAGGTCTATGTGGACCTCAACTGCTTATAAAATGCCAAGATGATGATGAAGAACCAAAGGGACAAGCAGGTAGTGTCGAGGATGAGAGTAGTAATGATCATGAAGTGATGAATAAGTGGTTTTACTTGAGCGCTGGTTTGGGATTTGCAGCAGGTTTGCTGGTACCTTTTGCTGTTATGGCACTGAGAAGGTCGTGGAGTGATGCCTACTTCCATCTTGTGGATCAAATTGTTGATGGAATAATGTTGGACATCATGAGAAGCAACAAACGCACATCCCAGAGAAAACAACGTCGTCACAAGTCGTAAATTTGTATCGCTGTCAATCCTTGGGAGTTGGGAAAAAGGCTTTGCTTTGCATCCTTTTGCTTAATTATATGTGAACTAGTACTCTGCATCTTTACCTTTGTTTTTACTTTTTCTTTTTATATTTTTGGCTATATATGTCAGAGTAATGATGTAGATGATGTGAACTATTAATGTTTTGTAAAAGAGTTCATGTATTAAACAACCTTTAAAGTTTAGACGTTCTCTGGAATGAAATAACTTCATTTTGGTTAGTTGCTTGACGACATAATTGGGTCGAAAAGAAAAGAGAAAAATATGGATGAATCTTTTCAAAAATATGATTCGATGGGGTTACAAAATAAAAGTAGTGCCAATTATATTTTAACAACAATGTGGACTTGATAGCACTTGATAACCCAATTATTTGCATGGATATTTTAGCATCACAGAATTTGATTAAAAACTAAATCTTTGTTCCCAAAAGTTACATATATTAAAAATGGAATCCAAAATATTAATGTTGGAACAAATAATTTCATTTGTGGGATCAAAGGGAGTAGAATTTAAATCCAGTTCTACTCAAACAATCTCAGTACCAGTGTTCCATGGATAAGGATATAAGATGAGTTACATGTACAAGATCTAATTTCAAGAGCTAGAATCCCATACATGGACTCATGGATACGTCTATCGGATATACCTATATAATGCCGCATGCCTTTATTAATAAGTGGTGTCTCATACAAAGAAAATGACATTCATCTTGTACATTAGTTGTTTATTTGTGTCACATAAGGTATAAAAGGAAATGTTTCTTAGAAATTTCCCCAAGATCCTGTGTAGTATGAATTTCTAGTGCATATCTGAAACATATACATGGATGAGATGTTCTGTAACATGGGTGGGCCACACTGTAGTCATTTACAATCTAAACTATTATAAAAAGTACGAATGAGGGTGTGGAACTTTTCTTAACTAAGGAGATGTTTTGTAACATAGATGAGAAATTGGTGGGTGTGAATTCACACCACACTCTATGGCAATGATTAATCCATATCACACTACAATTTACAGTTGTTCTGAACTTTGGACCAAATTATGTAGACAGAAACTGTTTACACCCACAAGGGCGTTCTGCAGGTGTAATGTGGACTGGTTCGCACCACACCTATTTACATCTCATGTACAACTTGTGAGATAATTTTACACAATTGATCATGTCAGATCAGATAGGGGTGATCCGAATCAGATCCATCCAATCCAATAATATGTCGGGTGGTTATCCAAATATGACAAAAATAGGATCGGATTTTGGATATGATCCATTTGCACCCGTACGATCATGAATGAAAAAGAACCATAATTTAAGCCAAAAATAATTTAAAATAATAGCAGATAAAATAAAATACTAATATGTAATTATTAATAAATATATTTGTCATTATAATATTATCTTTAGCAATAAATAATTTAAAAAATAATTTCTATATAAATTATAATATATTAAAAGATTAGATAAAATAAAAGTAGTGGAACCAAAGTAATACAGGTGTGTTACACCGAATCTTTCCCACAAACTGTCCACACTATAGTGTGACCCACCCACGAGAAAATACTGTGGACAATAAATTGGAGTGTAGCTCGTTCTTGTCCATGCTATTTTATGAACAGGGACCGTCCGCACCTAGTAGAACACCACATTCTACCGTGGACAAGACCAAAACAGTCCCAGCCACGATATTTTCACACTATTGATCACCACCTAAAATGCCCACATTTGTTATTTAGTCCATCTTTAATTATGAGGGTTGAAAATGTAATTTCAATTAATGCCTTTCACCTCATTTAATACCCTCTCATTAACTCTTGTAATTAAGATATTAACTTCCATTATCTCTTATTAAATCCATATTTAAGTTATTTTTCACCAATAAATGCTATTAATTAGATATAACCCATAACAAAATCATTCTTTATCCAAGTTAACACATTTGACCCAAAAGTTGAACCATTGATCTTTGCCAAATTGTAAAATAATTTCATTTTCTGTTAGTTCTAAATTATGTATTTGATTTTCATTATCAATAAAAGTAACTATTGTTTATTACACTTTTTAAAATTGATTAATAAAAATATCATAACGTGTCTAATTTTTCTATATTTATTTTTATTTTAAAAATTTTATTACCTAACTATGACTTCATAAGTTGATCACTTTGATTTGGATGGTTGAATTGCTTAGCCACCACTTGAATAAAGAATGTTTTTTGTTTTTTAGTTAATTTTAAAATGCATGGTTTATATCTTTAAAAATATTGGTATAGACTAATTAGCAAGGTTTTTAAAACCAAACCAGATAGGGAACCGTTTTAGGGGTTGGTTCTTGGGTCGAATGGTCCGAATGGATAACCTGTTCTAACAAAAAAAATAAAAAATAATAAAAAACAAAAGGCCAAAAAACAGTTGCTCAAGTCGACGGTTCGACAGCCTAAGTTAACAGTTTGCTAACCAAATCAATGGTTTTTTTTCCTAAAAGCAATTTTGGGGTGAAATGGAACCGATTCCCAATTTTTCCGATCCAACCATTCGGTCTAGTCTGATTTTGAAAACCATGCTAATTAATAGTATTTATTAGTGAAAATAACTTAAATATAGGATCTAGTAAGAGGAAATGGGAATTAATACCTAAGTATAAGGCTTAATGAGTGATGATTATATGAGGTGGAAAGTAATAATTGAAGTTACATTTTCAACCCTTACCATTAGAGATGGACTAAATACACAATTATGGGCATTTTAGTAGTCATAAAGGTATTAAAACCGTAATAAAATTTCATTTATACCCTTTCTTAAATAAAGAAGTAGAGGATAATTTTAATCCAGAAAAGATTTCACATTGCATTCACACTTTTATATATAATATAGATTTAGGGGTACAAATTCAACAGAATGAATTGGGTTTAAGCTCAACCTAGGGCCTAAGGCTTAAGCCCAAGCTCATGTCCAATCTGTCCAACCTTAGTCCAGCCTACACTAAAATTTCACGTGCTTAATTGGGGTCGGGCTTGGATTATTCAATCAGCCCATTCTAAATGTATATGTATGCAAGTGTGAAAATCTGTATGTATGCATATATGTAAACGTGCAATTTTGGGAACGGTTGAAGATGTATGTAAAATATGTATATATATGTATGTAAATAGTCAGATTGGACTCAAATTGGGATAGGGTCAGATCAGGCTTGATTTACCTAAAGCCGAGCCCATCTCAAAAAATACAAAGCCCAAATTTTTGAACTGACCCAGGGACCAAAAATCCAAAAGTGCAAAATTGCGGGTTGGATTGGTCCGGGCTCTGATTGGGCCCGCATTACAGTACTCCTATTGACAAACACTTATCATGATTTTAATTTGAAACCACGGTAAGAGTCATGATTTTCAATAACAATCCATAGATGAAAACATGTAAACAGATGTTGGAGTAAACCCATTCTAAACGTCTAACAGATGTTGGAGTCTGCCCCGGCCCAGGTGGTAAGTCATAATAATTTTCAAACGCGGCATTGACTCATGTCCGAATGTATATTGTCCTACCTAAAATCTATGTTCAATTATACAAGTAGGATTCAAACTCCCAGCCTCAGACCCAAGCATTGGCCTAGAGGCAGAGGAATGTCAGCCCATGTCAATGTCATGTGCAACCCAATCGTGCCGTGTGGTGTAAGAGGCAACCTCGGAGAAAATGTGAAGCATCTTGGTGGTGGAGGTGTAGACTAGATAGTACCACACAAGACTTCGGAGTTAATCCACCTATTTCATTTGCGACCCAATAAGACCAATAACAACATTGACCTTCACCAAGATACAGCCTAAAATCTATTAAACATCGTTGAAAGCTTCTAACAATAATTTAAGAAAACAGAGTAACAATCTTCGTGGTGGTTCACAGTAATTCTACGAGTGTATGAGCTACAACTGTTTTTGTTATTCATGTTCTGACAAAGTGACGTAAACTCCCTTAAAGATTGAATTTTTTGGGGCTCCTGCGAGAATTAGCGGCCAACGAACTATGCGAATGTCCTTGCAAGTCGAGCCCCTCAAAGTTTTCGAGCGAGTCGGCGACTTACAGTTAGTATAGTTGTTTCTGCAGGTCGAGCTCTCTGTGGCTTCTTGTGGGAGTGGATGACCGACGTCATTACGAGGCTGATGCAGTGCAGCTGTGGCCCTAAACTGCCGACTCACACCACCAACAACATTATGCCCTAGCAAGGGGGGGCAGAACATGTACGTCGTGGTTTTGCAAGCACTTATCCAGGAAGATAATCCCACAGGATGACATAGAAGMAGCCATATGAGAAGTTACTACAGAATGACCACCTACGTAGGTGGAAAGGTCAGGCCGCACATCGGCCAAATAATATTAAGGAGAGTGGACTACGAAGTCGCTCCCAGAGCCTAAGGGCTAAGGTGCCAAGCTGATAAAGACCTTGGCACAACCTGAGACCCAGTTGCCCTTTCAGCATGGGCAATGTCAAGAATAAGGAGAGTGGACTACGAGTCGCTCCCTAGGCCTAAGGGTTATGGTGGCGAGTTGACAGAAGAACTCGACACCACACAAGACCCAGTCGCTTTAGCATGGGCAACCTAAACCCTAGTCGCTTCGGCAGGGGTAACCTAAACCCCAGTCGCCTCTCCAGCATGGGCGAAATAAAAAAGTTGTTTGCATTCATTGGTGTGCAAACATGTCGAATACATTCCCTACAATGTTCGTGCCCCTCGGATTATTCCTAACTATGCCCAGCCCACCAATTCAGCACCTCGAGTGAATCCACACTTAGAATATTTTTTGGAGAAAAAGAAAAAGAGAAAAAGAAACGATGAAAGGAAGATTAATTCGGCACAAGAAAGAAAACAAAGGAAAGACTAGTTCGCTTTCAGCATCATAACGGACGCAAACTTGGCCGATCTCTTCACGGTCGACCTCCACCTCGGTTCCTACCTTCGCATCGAACTCGTCGACTACTCTTTTGAGAACCAGCTCGAGAAACACTACGTCGAAGTCTACCTAGGTGGAGCAACCTGATAAAACAACCACACAGAACCCCTTCTTGAGGACGGCATGATAAGCTTCGCTCTTGAGGTACTTAGTTGGATTGTAGAACCCCTTGATGGTCGCGTCCCTAATAAGGTAGATGCCCTCGGGGTACCTGCTCCACTTCTCCTCGAGTAGATGAATTCGCTCTCATGCCCCGATAATCAAGACAGTGAGGCCCTACATAAGGCTGCAAACACTTGGACTCTTCCGACCTGAGAAGCAAATTGGACCAATGCTTACGACTACGAGCTTATCAAATCAGTCATTCCGGGCCAAAAGGAGCAATCTACTCCCTTCACTGAGCTACTTTCAGCTCGGGAGTGGGGGCAGATTTGGCCTTCCAATGACATTGTGACACATGGCATCTTAGAATAGTTAGATGACACCTAGGCACCACCTAAGTGATGATTTGGAGTCTCAGATTGCAGCTCGTCTTTACCCCGACCTAGCAACCTGCCTTTATGCCGACCACAACTTAGGTCGGCTTATAGCACCTTGTCCAGGGTCAGCCTGTAGCACCTCGTCACTAGTCGAAGTGACCTCGACGCGAGGAGCGACCTCCCTCGAGGGCTTGCCGACTTGACTGGGGACCAGGCGTTGACCTGCGAGATGTGCTCGCCGACAAATTCGGCATGCATATCCCGACGCTCTCAGGTTTCTCGGAAGTTGGCCCACGTACCGAATATTCTAGAGGATGGTCAACGTGCACGGTAGTTACCTCCGAGGATCTCAGACCGGTTAGGCACGACCTCTCAGAAACCTCGGATGTAGTGCATGAAGCCCACACCAAACAATGCCTATATAAAGGCGCCAACCCCAATGACACAAGGGAGAGATGCGATTAAGTACATTCTAGCTCTCATACTTTCTGATTTTTTAGCTCACGATCTACTAAAAGAGTACTAACTTAAGCATCGGAGCGACCTCATCGGGTTAGCCGCCCCGAGTCCTTTGACACCGTTTCCTTGTAGGTCTCTTCGAAGAATTACCCAGCTCGGCACTCGAGCAGCCTCCTAATTCAATCCAATCAGTTTGGCATCCAAGCCTTTATCTAGCAGAAATACTCCAGCTCGACCTCTGAGTCATCGGACATTAGGAAGTAGTCGAAATAACAAGGTGCTGCCAAAAAATGCTTCATCAATCTTTTTATTTTTTATATATATAATAATAACTAATTTTTGAGAATTCTTAATTTTTATATGTAATTTTTTATTTTTATAGGAAATTTAGCTCACAATCGAGCTCGAATCAAGCTTGAGCTTCATAGCTTTCTGAAATGCCAAGCTTGAATAGCCAAATATTCGGCTCAACTTCAATCCACCCCTAAAATTACCAAATGCCTAACTAGCTCTAGAACTTTTCTCACTAACAGCTGCCTCAAAATTAATCTTGACAATTTTATGGGTCGATTTGGTCCATCTCAAAGGAGTACATTTCCACTTTCCACTTTCCACTATCCCAATGGGCTTATGAAGAAGGTTCAATCCCCAAGATTGCATTGTTTGCATTTTTTTTGTAGTGTAAATCAAGATCGATGTAAAATTTCACTTCCAGTTCAGATTTGTTAACATTTGTGATGTAGCGCAATCTAACTACTTTCGCATGTCAGGTGATTTGAATGCTGATTCGGATGATTACCTTGTCAGGGGCCGAGCTGTAGATGGCTGAGCTGTTTTGTTATGCAAGGGAGACAGAATTAGAGTGCCCAGGTTGTTTTTACCCGGGGGTGGGCACTCTGATTCTTAAATCAGAGAGTTGCTTGAGAGTTCTTTAGTAGACAAGAGTATTTGAGAGCTTAATCGTGCATACCTTCACTACTAAGAATGAGGGATTTATATGGATGTGAGTGACATAGGTCTTCTCACAACAGGTCTCATGTTCTCATGGAGCCATTTTCGCTCAGTTGGGAGAGTAATTACATTGGTTATATAATCTGCGCGGGGGTTATGGTCCGTCCGATTAACTCTGATGCATGCGATGTGGGAGGCCGACCTAATGGTTGATGTATTAGCGCTCCTGAGATCTCGGGCTGGTAATGTATCTATGAGACAAGTCAGCGGGCTTGCCTTGTAGGTTGCCACAGGTTCTTATAGCTCGGCCAGTCTCTGAGGTAGGTCGCCATATGCTGGGAGACCTATTAGCCCGGCCCGACCAAAGTAGAAGAAGTTGGCCTGGGCAAGGTGTTTTAGGCTGACTTGTCAAGCTGCTTCTCTTACTTAGCGCCATGGTATCATCTGAAGGCCATGTACCATAATGTAATTCAGAGAACCAAATTATCTCTCATCAATTTGGATGAAGTACAATTTTACATCCTAAAACCCCATTTACAATAGAGTTTTACATCAATAATTGACGTAAATACTACATTAACAAAAATAACCACATTTTTCAAAAAACAACGATTGATAGATTTTAAACCATCAATGTTGAACTCCATCGATATAGTTTTGCACCACAAACAAACGCAGACTAGAGTAATGGAAGGCATATGGGCTTGTGCCGGAGTAATGATAGTAAATGGATGAAACTGAGCAAGCTCAAAAATGCGTTTATTGGGAGCCCAGGCCCACCATATAAACCGGAACAGCACTATTCCACGAAAAAGAGACGAACCAGAAGCCTTCAATTCTGCATAACGATGCCACCAACCAGCTAGCCAGTCGCCAACTTTCCTCGTACAGTGATAATCAATCAGCACGCAGGTTCAGGGCCGACCATATGGGCAATACAGTAACAATTGTTCAATGTTTTCCTCGGCTTCACCACATAAAGAGCAAGACCCGTCCACAATAATTTGTTGAGAAACTTAAATTTTTTAAATTATACTTAAAAAATTCAAACATTTAGGCTGTATTTAGAAACAATGCAAATATGTAAAATGTAAAATGATTCACATAAATTGTAAAGTTGGATTAGTTTTGCATTGACAAATTTACACTCCATTTGCATCATTTCAAATTTATTTACATTGATCAAAAGTAAAATATAACTTTCTTTTTTCCTTTTTATTTCGTAAATTACTAGAAGTCTGATCATTTGTATAGATTTCTCTTTTTATTTTATTAAGAAAAATGTATTTGTATTTTTGTTGATTTTTCTCTTAAATGAAAAACTCCCTATCCCACATTGCCTATGAAAACAGCTTATTTGATATGGCATAGCTCAACCAAAACTGATAATAAGTTTCATTTTGCTTTATCGGTTACAGAGCTTATGGGTGTTGAATTGCTATCTTTCTCAAGTTATTGCCTACTCCTGATTTTGTTGGTCAGATCTTTTGGAAGCGTTGGAAACAGAGCAGTGAGTCATACTATGCCGCCTTCCATAGAAGAGTCAAGATTAGAGCATATACAACGGGCAACAAAAACTCTAACACACGTTAGCAATCCCTGCATCCAAACGTATAAAATAAGCGGGTAAACCCCATGGTATACGTCTTGGTTGTAGCAGATATGGAGTACTCTGCCCCCAGCCCCACCCATGTCGGCTCATATCACCATCTGTCACCAAAACTCGTGCCGTGTGGTGTATGGGGAGAAAATGTCTACTATCTAGTCTTGGGGGACTCAGGGCTGGACTACATGGCACCACACAACACTTCTTAGTCAATCCACCTGTTTGATTTGCGACCCAACAGAAGAACAAAATCATTGACCTTGACCAAGACATAGCCTGAAATAATCTATTAAACATCGTTGAAACTTCTCACAATAATTAAAAAAAAAAGGTAGAGTAACAATCTTTGTAGTTCACAGTAATTCAATAAGTGTGTGAGATGCTGCAACTGCTCGAGGAAATGAGAATGATTTCTTTTGTTATTCATATTTTACTAATTCTCTGCTTTCTGTCGAGGGAATTTGTCTCTAATGGTGATACAACATTTTGTTCGAAGTTTGATAGGGAAGCTCTTATCAACTTCAAAAATGCTCTTGTAGATCCAGAAAATCGACTCTCGTCGTGGCAAGCAGGAAGCAATTGTTGTCAATGGAGGGGGGTGAGCTGCAACAACCATACTGGAGCTGTAATTGCAATCGACCTTCACAATCCATATCCATATGACCCTTATTATGATGACTCTTCCAACAACAGGTATGGGTTCTGGAACTTAAGTGGACGGATTGATCCTGCTTTGTTAAGGCTCAAGTCCTTGAAACATTTAGACTTGAGTGGCAACACATTTCAAGGCACCCCAGTTCCTGAATTCTTGGGTTCTTTGAAGAGATTGCAATATCTAAACCTATCAAAAGCAGGGTTTAGTGGTTCAATTCCTTCCAGCTTGGGTAATCTTTCTAGCCTTAGGTATCTCGATATCTCTTCAGATCTTGATCAACAGACACAAGAGTTTACTCAATGGATGGTTGATTTTGAATGGATAGGTGGTCTTGGCTTCTTAACACACCTTGCATTGAATGGAGTGGACCTCTCACTGGTAGGATCCAAATGGATCCAAGTGCCAAATATGCTATCATCATTGACCGAGTTGCATTTATCCGGTTGTGGCCTCTCTGGCGTCATTCCATCTCTTCAATCTGTTAATTTTACTTCACTTGCCATTATTGATCTCAGTCATAATGATTTCAATTCAAAAGTACCCGATTGGATCATGAATATAACCAGCCTTGTACATATTGAAATGCACAACACAGGTTTGCATGGAAGGATTCCACTTGGCGTTTCTGAGCTTCCCAATTTGCAATACTTGGATCTTTCTGAAAATTTTAATCTTTCTGCCATCTGTTCACAATTATTCAAGGGAAGTTGGAGAAAAATTGAAGTTCTAATGTTAAGTTTCAATAGAATACATGGGAAGCTCCCTGATTCCATCGGAAATATGACATCTTTGGTACAACTGGATTTGAGAGGAAATAATATCAGAGGAAGAATCCCAAGTTCCATGGCAACCCCATGCAACTTAAAAAAATCAATTTTATATCATAATAATAACTCGAGTGGTAGCTTACCAGAATTTGTTCATTGCACATCTAAAGGTGCTCTGTCTGGTTTGAGGTACCTGGATTTGGGTCACAATAAATTACACGGTACTTTACCAGATTGGTTGTTCCAGCTGGAGAATCTAGAGGTGCTTTCTTTGGAATATAACTTACTCCAAGGTCCTATCCCTGCATCTTTAGGGAGATTGTCTCTCCTAAGTGAGTTGTGGCTTCGACAAAATGAATTTAATGGAAGTCTCCTTGCTGATACTTTAGGACGGCTACCAGAATTGGTGGCTTTGGATGTATCTTCGAACTATTTGACAGGTACAATGTCTGAAGCTCATTTTTCAAGCCTAGGTAATTTGGTGGTCTTATACTTTTCTTCCAATTCTTTAACTTTGAATGTTAGCTCCAACTGGGTTCCTCCATTCAACGTTGAAATTCTTGGTATGGGATCTTGCAAAATGGGCCCTTCTTTTCCTGCTTGGCTTCAAACCCAAACTGAACTCATACATTTGGATATCTCCAATGCTAGCATTTCAGGCACAATACCCCACTGGTTTTGGGACCTTTCTTCCAGTTTGACTGTATTAAATGTTTCATTCAATGAATTAGAAGGTCAGTTGCCAAACCCACTTAAGGTTGCATCTTTAGCCTATGTTGATTTCAGCTCCAACCACTTGAAAGGACCCATACCTCTTCCAACATCTGACATTAAATCATTACGTCTCTCCAATAATCAATTCTCTGGTCCTATTCCCTCTGAAATTGGTGAATTACTGCCTGATTTGCAAGCCCTATTCCTTTCAAGTAACCATATAACAGGTGAAATCCCCACCTCCATTGGAAAGATGCCATTTCTGCAATTACTCAGTCTTTCAAGAAATAATTTGATGGGTAGCATCCCTTCAAGCATAGGGAACTGTTCAAAACTAGTTGTCTTGGATCTTAGACAGAATAAACTATCTGGGTTGATCCCCTTGTCATTGGGTCATTTGAAACAGCTTCAGAGTTTGCACCTTAGCGATAATCAGATATCGGGGGAGCTCCCATTAACCTTGCAGGGTTGCACAAGCTTGGAAACTCTAGATCTTGGAAATAACAAACTGTTTGGTGGCATTCCATCTTGGATTGGAGAAAGACTCTCTGCTCTTAGGATTCTTCGATTGAGGTCAAATTCATTTTCAGGTGAAATTCCTTCTCACCTTTCCAATCTGAGATCCCTGCAGGTCTTGGATCTCGCGGATAACAATTTTACTGGCGACATTCCTGCCAGCTTAGGCAGTCTTGAGGCAATGGCTCATGTGCAAAATGTAAACCATTACATACTCTATAATGGGCCACGGGGACAATATTACGATGAGAGTTTGACTGTTTCAATTAAAGGCCTTGAACTCACATACACCAAAACTCTTTCCCTTGTAACTTGCATAGATCTTTCCAGAAATAATTTTTATGGAGAGTTGCCCAAGGAGATTACAAATCTGTCTGGTTTAGTGGTCTTAAGCGTTTCAGAAAATCATATCAGTGGAGAAATTCCTGCAAGAATTGCAAGCATGCATGAATTGTCTTCCCTAGATGTTTCAAATAATGATCTGGGGGGAGCCATTCCTTCTAGCATGTCATCCATGTCTTCTTTGGGTTATCTCAATTTATCATACAACAACTTCTCAGGTCAAATCCCATTTTTTGGGCAGCTGGCAACTTTTAATGAGTCCTTCTACCATGGAAACCCAGGTCTTTGTGGACTTCCACTTGCTATAAAATGCCAAAATGAGGGTCCAAACAGACAAGAGACCATCGAGCATGAGGGTGGCAGTGAACAACTACTCATGGAAACATCGTTTTATTTGAGCATGGGTTTGGGTTTTGCAGCAGGTGTTTTGGTACCTTATCTTGTCATGGCAATGAGAAAGTCATGGAGTGATGCTTACTTCCGTTTTGTCGATAAAATTGTTCATAAAATGTTGAAGATGAGAAGCAACAGGTACACATCCCAGAAAAAACGTCGCCGTCGATGAATGTGTATTGTTATAAATCCTTCAAATTGGGGAAAAGATGCTGCTTTGAATCATGCTGCTTAACTACAAACTTATTGCTCTGTTTTATATTTACACCTACTCAAATCTTCACTTTTTTTCTTTCTTTTTGCAAGTTATTATTTATCGTTGTCATGATGTACATAAAGCAAATAGTACATGAAATTAAGCTAAATATATTAATTAATGTTTTCTCTGTATATGATTACTTTTAAATGTTTCTTGCATTGAAATATATCGGTGCTGCTCTCCCAGTTGCTTGACTTTTCCATATCAATATCTTAAGAATCGAGTAGCCTGAAAACCATATTTTACTACTGCAAATCCCTGATTTTGATTATCAGACTCTTTAGTACTATTCAAGTATAAACAACAGTTGTCATGATTTTATTTAGTATTGGAAACACGGCACTGAGTCATGAGTATTAATATACCACAGCCCATAGCAATCGAGTTAGGATATGTTACAAACAAAAGTTTAACCATGATCAAACTAATATTTTGTTGAAGAGGTTGAACTCCTGTCTCCTGCTATAAATATATTTGGATAAGTTTAACTACACTCATAAGAACAATGATAACATCACAACCCCAGTCAATCATGGAAATTTCAAGTCATAAGATGACAATAATTAAACAGATATTTGTGCACAATCAGGATTTTGAAGATTGTTACTTTCTACACATTGTTGGAATATGTTAAGCCAAATTATTCCAAATATTTCAAATTTAGGAACAGGTACAGTCCAGATCTCCTAAATTTAACGCTTATGCCAAGTTTATTCATAGGGGTGGTTTTGATTGATGAGACTGTATTGAAATAGCTAAAGACACTTCCCAAATAAAACTTGAGTTTTTGTTTCTTGATTCCTAATTGAAAGACTCCTTCTGGATAGCAGTATCAAGTATCAACTTCCATTAATTACATTTAAGATCACATTGATTCCAGCATTTCCTTGCACCTGATGAGACACAATGTCACCTTCCATAATAGCTTCTTTGTTTTGTACATCAGAATCCTTAGAGTAATTTCGTCGAATACCATCTTCCCCTTCCTCTTGTACCTCCTCCTCAACAGGACCAGGAGAATCTACTTCAACATTTTCATCTTTCCCATCCGGATCCCCTTGTTCAATGGGGTCAATATGTTATATCATTTAAAGTACTACATATTTAGGATCTACAACCACCACATCCACCTGAGTCTCCTTTTTGTAGGGGCGACCTCTCTATTAGAAATCACTATATTTCCAGGCTTTTGAAGCTGGATCTTGTGCCTTACGATCTATCCCGATTATCTTTTGATCCACAACGTTGTTTGATGTTTTATTCACCTTATTATTATTGCAAGAAATTTCATCATGCCTTACTTTAAAATAGTTTTTGCAATAAGCGGGATTGTTCATACTCAACTTGTTTGCCAAAACCTCTCACGGCCAGTCCCAATCCAAACTCAATTGGGAATTTGGGATGCTTATTGAGCAAATCCCTTTCAATGCAAACCCTAGCGATATTCATTCTTCACACAGAGATTGTGGCTAGACTGGTCAAACTTCAAAACAGCGCCTATAGTTTGTACGATAGAATAAAATAACCCTTCAACATAGAAATTTATAGGAGAAAAGGGAAGTTAATCCACATCTGAAAGGATTGAAGGCTCCCAGCCTGGCTCAAAATCAGGAACCCATTTGAATAATCTCAATGGTAAGTTCTGTATCTTGAAAGAGATAATTCAAATGTATTGGTAAAATACTGTATTCAAAATTATCTCTGTTTACAGGAGTTTACAAAGGGAATTATATCCATAATACAGAGGCAGTTAATACAATTGCCAGAAGTTATTGGTATATGGTAATGTGGGGACGTATAGTGCTTTGCTTTAACACCCCCTCAGAGTCCGGCTTCAATCAGGGCAAAGACCGTTCCAACAGCCTTTACAGCCTTGTGTTGGGAATATCTCTGTAGTTATGTGATTTATTTTATGGGAGATATTCCCAATGCAAGGATGCAAGGGGCTGCTTGAAGGGTGCGAGCACCGACTTGCCCTGATAGAAGCCGAACTCCCCCCTTAAGCGAAATGGGAGTGCTAACGCTGATATTGTCATGTAGAGTAGTGAAGAACTTGATGTGGAGAGCCCTGGTAAATACATCAGCTGTTTGATCATGAGTGGATGGTTGAGACAGTTTATTTTTATCAACATATGGGATGGTTGATAAAGAAAATTAGATGACACTCAAAAGACACTTATGTCTTTTCAAATGTCACTTAATGGCCAGTTAACGAATTGATTAACAACAAGTACTAGATTGACACATTTTAAAAGTTTGGATACTGAATTGTCACAAGTACTAGATTGATACAGGGTACTAATTGGGGATTTTCCCTAAAGAGAAACTATAACCAAAAGGTTGAAGGGTACTTTGGACCATAATGGTCCGTTTGGTTGCCGAGAAGGGATGGGATGAGAAAGAAAAATTTTATTTGCTAAATTTCAGTGCCTGTGTTTGTTTTCCAAGACTTATTATCCCATAGAATTTGCTTTCCAGTGTTTGGTTGATGTGAAAATTTTGTAGGATGTTTGATTTTACCAAAAATTGTGTTCAATTCCACAACACAGCCCTACCCTATTTACGAGATGACATGGCAAAATATTATTTGATTCTTGCCATGTGGCATGCTAACATACATATATTAAAAACATGTGCATTTAAAATCTGGCATATTGGTACCATTTAAGTTAGCAAAAGTAACTCTCAAAGTCATACATTATCATGTCAGTTTCCCTATGTTCAAAACAAGCAAATACTTGTGGCGTCATTTAAGCAAATATAAAACTGTCGTGACCACCAAACTTACTATCAAAACAATAATGACTATTGATTGTGAATGAGGTTCTTTCAACGCCTTCACCTCCATGTCAGTATCCTCTACATAGGTCCTAGAGGTGTTCCCAATTGTAGGTTGTTTGGATGGTGGATGCAAATTACATTGGTATCGCTGCAATTGAGATACGACCTCTTCATAAGTGCAATACGAACAAAAGTTGCTCTGCTAAATTTGTGTACTTAGGCATTGCACTCTATTTATGTGAAATAAATTCTTGATTGACGCCCTTTGAACACAACATAATATTTTGCCATTTAGACCTATAATCACATAAGCACATATTCCATCAAACCCATATCTAATTAACCTATAATTCAACTCGAAAATAAATCAACCACTAAATCCAACAAGAAATCAAACATATGCTACATATGGGGACTTTGAATCTCTTATATTGAGTTAAAACCTCAATCAAAGAGTTGAACACCTGTTAAGAGTAAATATTTAACCACCCACGCTACTCAAGAGACCCACTCGATTTAATCTCAATTAAAAAAAAAAAAACTGCTTAAATTCATAAGCTCAACTAATAATTATTCTTATCAACATAGGAACCTCTGAACCCCATATCATGGAGTTAAACACTTGTTCAAAGTAAATATTTAATCACCCACACTACTCAAGAAACATGTTCATACAAATCAAAATGAAAAAAAAAAATTCTTAAATTCCGAACCTCAACTAATGATTAATTTTATCGAAATGGGAACCTCCGAACCCCATGTATTGACTTATAACCTGTCAATCAAGGAGTTGAAAACCTGTTCAAAATAAATATTTAATCACCCACCTTACTCAAGAGACTTATACTAATCTCAATGAAAAAAAAATTGCTTAAATTCAAAAACTCAACTATTATATCATTCATTATCATGGGAACCTCTGAATCCCATATATTGAGTTAAAACCTATCAATCAACGAGTTCCACTCGTATTGATTTCAAGAGACCATTCATACTAATTTCAATGAAGAAAAACTGTTTAAATTCATAAAGTCAACTAATATATCATCCATCTACATGGGAACCTCTGAATCCCATATATTGAGTCAAAAGTTGTCAATCAAAGAGATCCCTTCATACAAATTTCAATGAAACCAACCTGTTTTAAGTTCATGAACTCAAGTAATATATCATCAATCTACATGGGAGCCTACGAATCCCAAATTTTGAGTAAAAAACCTGCCAAGCAAATAGTTGAGCAACCTATTTATGTTCATAAACTCAAGTAATAAAACATGTTTAACGTCATCAATTCAAGTAATCATTTATCTATATGGGAGCATGTGAATCTCATAAAATGATTAGGAATCTATTAAGCAAAGATTTGAGATTTGAACACTTATTCAAACTAAACATTTCAATCATCCACAAAATTCAAAATATCCATTCATTTTAAGTTGGAAAACCCCGTATAAATTCATCAATCCAAGTACACAAATCAGCATTCACATGGGAACTTGTGAATCCCATATATTGAATGAAAACCTGTATTTAACAAAGAGATTAACACATGTTCAAAATTCAACAATCATGAATTGTTTCTACCAACTGATGAAGATAAAGCCAGCCAAGACATGTTTGAGTCATATGTCAAAATAAGTAATGTTCAAGTTTTCCAAAACATGAAAGTGCATCCAAGGAAAAACCCATAAAGCATAACAAAAAGTGGGGTGTTAGTAAACCATATATTCATCAATGTCTCCTAAAAAGGGGTGTTAACAAAGTAACTTCATTTAAGTGGGTCTAGCTTTAAATCCAACCATGTCTTAATTCCGGAGCCAAGGCATAAAATTCTATTGCTTGATTTTCAGACTCAGTCAGATAATCAATTACCCTTATGAGAAATGAGGGGTTGTGATCCCATAAGCTCAACACATCATCATAAATCTTTTCCTTCTTTAGCAACCCAATTCCCTTATCAATAGCAGAAGCCAATGATTTAATGCTAGATGCAATCTCATGTACTTCTTCAGCAACTACAACTACATACGACTTTCTTTTCCCTAGACCCCTCAACTCAGTTGAGCTACCCTCCTCAGGTGGCCTAGCCTGAAGAGTTGAGTCTCCATCAACCTCATCAAACACAGGCTCCT